CCATCGCCATTTCTGCTCGATGGTGATGGTTGAATGACGATTGTTCATGATTTACTTTTCAAGTGTTTCAAATGTTCAAATGGGGCACTTGCGATTTTTGCGATTCGCGCGAATCGCGCGACAGATAGCGGACTCTGACATCAGCCTGAGGCGTACTAAATTCTTGTACTCATTCTTTTTCAGATTTCTGTTCTGTGTAGATTTGTTTTTCATGATGTCAAGGTTCTTTCTAACAATACATGCTTACTAGGGCGCGCAGCGAGATTCTGATTCCGAAGAAATTGAAGGGATCACTTTCGAGGAGTTCAAGCGTCTTCTAGCGACAAACCCTACCTTGCGTCAATTTGTTTTGGACATTCGTCGTGAAGAAAACGATGTGGGTCATTTACTTATATGTTTATAATGGGAATGTAAGGTAACTTGTGCGGAGCTCAGACGGTAAGAAAACGCTATTCCAGTCAATTTTTTTATTTATAGCTACGCACTGGGTATGCTGATCGTCGCAGGGATACCGATAAGTTCGAATCTTCGCGATGGAGGGATTCTCCAAGACGAATCGATCGCCTTAGGGAAAATCCTGCTGAATCGGCAAAAGCTCGAGAGGAGGCTAAGCGCAGGGAGTGAGTTCATATCCTATAAGATCATACGTTCATTGCATGAACGTTTGATTGAAGCTCATTTTGTGTTTTCAATGGTTGAAAGATGTTAATCGGTTATCATGGTAATTTTTTGAGAAAACCTTGTGATCACCTTCTTCCAGACCCCGTGGCGCAAAATTTACCGAGAAAGTGACTGTAGAGCGAAGCATTCGGTGCTCTCCACCCGAATTAGCTCAGTACTCTGTCGACACGCGAAGGTATCTCGAGGACCAAATCTTGGAAGGTATGTGAAGATTTTTCGTAGTTGGTTTCAGAATTATACAGTACGTCGGCTTTGAGCGTTTACTGTGATAGCCGAGGTTTCTATCGTTGTTATTGCAGTTACTGTTTTTAGAGGAGCCTGAAGACATTCAGTCCATGTATCGACCTGGTGAAAGCGTCAGCTATTACCCGGAGAGGCTTCGACAACGTGGGTGAGTTACTAATGGAACAGAAGTGTGTTTTTTTTTCTCCGAGGCAAATCTGATCTATGATTAGGAATGCGGGAGATTTGAATGATTCTGATGTGGAGGACGAACGAACCGGTCGAAAATATGGTAGTGAGTAAACTACTGGTTGTTTTTCCTGAATGTTTTTTTGCTGTTATGGCTTGTAAGAGTTCAGATATGAATGCCGAAGAACGTCGTAGACAAAGAAGGGTCCGTCGGACAGACCGCTGTCAGGATTATTAAGCAAGCTGTTGTTAAAAAGTATCGGGCCAAATTCCATTCGGTTTTCTTTTCTTTATTGCACCTCGTTGCCACATTGCCGGTGGCGTTTTGGTTTTTGTTTACACCTTCTCGATTATGGCCGATCTTTCCTTCGATCAGCTCTTTCACGTCACTTTGGCTTAACATTTTGTCATCCCAAAATTTTGTCACAGTATCTAAAATAGTTATGTGAAATGCCTACTGCTCTAGTTTCATCAGCTTGTACTTTTATCCTTTTATGCTGAAGCCCTCCTGTTTTGCATTTCCGCATTTTTTGGTTTTCCTGAATAATGTTGTAACGTAACTCCCACGTAGTAAAAGCTTTGTTCGGAAATCGATGGCTTGTTGAAGAGACTGTTGGAGTTGAGGCGATGCAGGAACGCTCATGGAGCGTCTGTGGGTTAAGGGGAAGGCTTTTGAGGGGTCATCGTAATTTCTCTGAGCAACTTTCTTCTATGTATTTCTTTAATTTGGCCCAGTTTCATATGTAACACTTCACTTGCGTAGCAAAATTGTTACTTGAAATACCGTAATGGAACAAGATCCCGCGCCGATGTGATTACCCGAATATCTCATTACCTGTTGAGATTGTACGCTGAACCTTGTGCTTTTCCCAGAGCTCGTACCATTTTGCCATTTCGTACGCTATTCTTCATTGTCAGTTGTAATCACTAGTATATTTCTGTCACTTAGTAATCTCATTTGTCGCCCATTTATCCTATCTACCCTCGCATACTCACTTAAATCGAGAAATTACGCCACCCATACAACTTCTGTGCAGCATAGGAAAACTTAAACAGGTCAGCAGCTCAAAGCAGTAGCTAGAGCCCAAAGGAATCGAGATGTGGCCTTTTTGTGACTAAAGGTGCGCTCGTTGCAGCGCCCTGGGGCTGCCAATCCTTTCTGAGCTCCGCCTCCGCCTGTGCTCCGCCCCTCAGCAGATCGCTGTTCGATTATCATTCTGATAAGGTATGCCACTTCGAGCGCGTATCCAATTTTTTTCTCATGGAATGCTATATCAATCAAGGTATGATCTCTGGTGGTATGATGGCAGCTATGGTTTAACGAGTGCCGACGACCTCTTAGTTGGTTGCCAACTCGTCCATTATCGGAGGTCAACGGGCAGAGGAAGTGGTCCCATTTTGCGCGTTTTTGACGGATTTCTTTGCTTTTTTCGCTACTAGGGCATTATTCAGCATCTTCACTTCCACTATGAGCACAACAGAATCCTATCGCAATCTCTCGCTTTAAGTGTAATTTTTCATCCCTCAAGTACTTGAGGGGGTTATTTGTCGTGCAGGTAGTTTGTAAATTTATCTTCAATAAAAAGGTGTTGTAGCACTCATGGTGAACTTACTAACCATCACTAACAGATCCGTCAGACAGTGTTTATCCAGCTCTCAGCTCGTTCGCAGAACGACTGTCACCATTGGTTTCCCATTTTTTCAACTTTTCCAGCTTTACCAGTTTCCACAGTGCTCCACTTACTGTGGCGCTCACGAAATGGTCGGAGCTGGCCACAGCCGTGAAGTTGGTCTCCTGGTGAAATATATGGCTTTGAGGAATATCCTACACTTTCTAGATTGGCACGTTGGTTGATTCTCTCATTAGCAGAGGAAAAACTTGGCGATAGCCATGGGTAATTATGGCGAGAGCCCTAGTGGGATACTTTCGGTATTTCGGTTACTACCGTAACTTTTGTGATTTTAGGGTCTGTATGGGCACCAGTGGGTTCCAGACATACCGGACGTATCGTGGTTGTGGTCGGCTTGAGTTGCAACTGGACCTCGCCACCTACCTCTTCAGGATGTCGCGCGCTCGTTCCTCTTTTCGAATGCATTCATAAGTGCGTGAACAAACAATGAGAAATACACTTGACGAGTTCTGCACCGAGCTTCAGGTGGCTATCGATTTACGTTGTCAATGTGTTATTGATTCGTATCGATTTTATACCGTCCATGTTTTATCCACCCGGCTGACATTACGTTTTATAAGTGACCAGTCGGCAAACAGAAATCTTTGCTTGTTTTGCGGATCTGTTGTCATTCAATCATGTCGTGCGCATGCCCTCGGCTGACTCGTCCATTTCGGACTATCATTCGTGATCACGCAAGAATGCGCTGTCTCAGAATTAGAATTCCTTTCATTCAGTCGGACACTAATTTCTGCGTTGTGCTTATCTTATTGTTAGAAGGGATTGATCTATGCTCAATGGCTTATCCTTTACTTGTTTCCTGCAACTTAAAAACTGCCTCAGATGGAATTCTAACCATTTTTGGACGAGATTCATTTGATGTTCTACAGCTCTTCCATGGGACCAGATGATCCCTTCCGTCATCAGCCTGGTTTATGGTTGAACCTCCGCTAGGGTTACACTAAACTTTTGCTCCTCCTCTGATGGGTAATTGTTACCAGCCTCAGAAATTATGGCTGATTCG